GGGGAGGAGGCTGTTTTTGTCCTATAAAGCCTCTGGAGCCTGGGTAGGGCAAAAAATGGCCTCAAAAAAAGGCTGACAGGGCAACGCCTCGCATGCCCTGACAATGACTCCGTGTGCCACCTGTGACACGCATGCCATAGGTTCGCCATCCTGGCTCCAGACTTAAGCCCAAAGAAGTCAGAGTTTCCCAACTTGAAAATATGATGTTTCTGTGTTCTCTTTTACCTCTCCATAGATCCTGAAAGTTCCAGTATCTTCTTCAAGTTCAATTGCAGTAACGCCTGGCACTTTCCTGGCTTGCTGTATATTACTGCCATGTGTTCCTATTGCAAGTCCCATTAAGTCTTCTCTGACAACAAATTCTTCATGAAATGCCGCTGCAAGCTGTTTTGTGCACTGGGGAAAAGGGAAAAAAATATATGTTTATTCTTCATAAAAACTTCAAGCACGAACACCGTTTCAGTGACTAAATCAGAAGCATAATTAAAAGGTGTGAGAAAACCAGCTGAGACCCACTCACTTCTAAATGCTTTGTTGCTTCTTCATTTCTTGACATGAGCATTAACTTGGTTCGAATGCTACGCAAATGCATGTCGCTGAGTATGCTCACTCTTTTTACTGTTGCCTCACTGGCAGACTGAAAGAAAAACAATGGGTAAGGATCTTCATTTTACAGGCGATGAATTAAAAAAAAAAAAACCAATTATTTCACCTGCCATTGTCCCAAAGGTGCTTTTTCAAAAAGGCAACTGGACTTTGTTTTTCCTTTGAAGAAAAGCACCTTTGAGACAACCACAACCAGGATAACCGAGAAACTCCACAAACAATTTACCTACCTCTGATTCATATCTAATTTAGAATGCGTGGAAGAGAACAAATAAAATTGATATGCTAAGTGTTTTTTTTCCTATTTAAAACTGAAATATTTGTTTTTATTAGTTTATTAGGGCGGTGAAATCCATATTGTTATTTGTGGGCAAGCAGGGTCTGCTGATCTACTTTGCTCAATGCAGCTTGATATGCTTTCAGCATAAAGCCAGATCAAGATGCAACAGCTGTGGCAATCAAAGTGACACCAAATAATACAAAAACCTTTGCTATAGGTTCCAGGTTCTTGTTTGATCCAATAGGCAAAGGTTACCAGGCCCAAATAGTACAGCTTGGATTATAGCTTGCATGAGATCCTATTTGCAACTCTTCAATCTGCATTTTCTAAAGAATATTTTCTTTTCACCGGTGGAAAGGTATAGTAATATCTTTTAATCCTCTATACAAGCCAGACCCAAAGTATCAAATTGGTAACATAAAGTTAACATAAAAATGACTTGCTCACTGATGGGGTAAAAAAAAAAAAAGGAAGAAACTTTATCTTACCAGAACTATTAATTGAGCTGCTTCAGCCTGGAAAAAAATTCTGCAGGCTCCTACAGCTTTCTTAAAATCCTTGTGAGCGCTTTCATTAGCACACCTAGAAAATTAATGTATGAATTAATTTGTTTTGAAACGTGACCAATAAGACATGAAATTGGAAAAATTGAAAATACTGAAAAATCTCTTTAAGGCACAGCCAGAAAACAACTTTTCAAAAGCTCATTTGCTTTTATTGAGAAAAGAACTGAAAACTTATACCACATTGCCAAAAGAATAATACACAACAAAACAAAACATTACAAGGTGAAACATTGATTTAACAGACCAATTATTCTCAATTGTCCATTAAATCAGAGTGTACATCATTTGAAGGAACATTACTATACAAATAATACAAATTAGAATCAAGATGTTTTTATGCAAATGATGTAAAAGCAGGAAGAATTCCATCTGCTGCATCTGAGATCCACTGCATTAAGTTCTGCTAAATCAAAGTTTCACATTTCGGATGTATGTACACTGAGAATAATTTGCATGAGCATACAGGTAGTCCTCACTCAATGACCCTAATTGGGATTGACAACTCTGCAGCTAACGAAAAGCAGTTGCTAAGTGGGGAATCACATGACTGTGATTGGTCTTTCCAGCTGGAAAGAGACAAGATTACTGTATTCAGTTTCAGCTTTTGTTTGCCACCTGGCTGGAGAGGTCACACTGCTTTCAATGTGCAGAAGAATAAACAGCTCGCTCTCTTGAACTCCCTCTCCAATCTCTACACTCTGTGGTGGTGGGAGGGAAGGATCNAAGGACACTGTGACAAACATAACTTGGACTGGTTATAAACCTCCTTGTTCAGGGCCATTATAACATCGAATGTTTGCTGAACACTAAGCACTAATGTACTTTCTTCTTCCAGCATAAAAAAGAAACACCCCAGGATTTCTGACACCTTAATTACACAGCTCTAATGCAACCTCATTTCTGTTTATGTTACTATGCTGAGTAAAGTGCATCCTAAGTCTGCATGGGACCTGCCATCAGTCTTGCCATAAGTTGAATCCCTTGACCATCATAGAATAAGACTCCTAGGTTTTGATGAGTTTATAACACTGGAGGTGATATAGAGAAGTAAAAAGAGAAGATATAATCTTTCTTTATTGTTTCTATTAAAAATTATTTCCTAATGTTATCTGACTGATGGACAAAAATATTTTATTTATTGCATACAATGCAAGGAACATTTGCTAAATGATTATTCGAATGAATAAGTACAAATCCCAACATTGTACATTAATATAAATTAATTTAAGACTAAGTATCAAACAACAACAAACAAATTAAATGAATGATGAATATGAAAGTGCCCAGGATTATTCACTAGACTGACTCAAAGAAATCTGAAAAAGTAGAACTGATATTTAATTTAGTTCCTCCAAAACAAGTCAAATCAGAACCCTTCCTGAAATCTTGTTAAGTGAAAAACCACACAAATGGATACATCTCTACTTAATTTCTCCAAATAATGTTAATCCTGAAATATTGTGTTACATTCCCTTATTTCAAACAAGTGCCTTCTCAGGCATGGGCAGTGATTTCCATGTCTGGTCCAAGATAGCTCATTTGGTGCCAACTTTAGTAACATTTCAGAGCCAGATAAAAGTACTATTGTTTAGTCTTGATTTAACACCTAATTTACTATATTCAATACTAAGCATTTTCTGCAATTATGCTGTTTTTATCCTTGTTTAAATTTCATAAAAATTTGATGAAGACTAGAAAGCAGTAATAAATGGGGTATTTGAAGACTCCAAAAGGGATTGGGCTAAGGTAGGCAAAATTGGTACAATTACTTCCTATGAGTAGACTCTATGATTCTGTTAATGCACTCCTAAAACAGCATTTGTTTTTTTTACTAGATGTATCACACTGCTGGCTCACATTTGACTTGTGATTGACACGGTCAGCCAGAAACCTTTCACATGTACTATCACCAAGCCAGATCTCTGGGGCCCTATACAGGTAGTCCTCAACTTACGACCACGATTGAGCCCAGAATTCATGTTGCTAAGTGAGAAATTTGTTAATTGAATTTTGTCCCATTTCTTGCCACATTTTGTCCCCTGTGGCATTTCTTGCCACATTTTGTCCCCTGTGGCATTTCTTGCCAC